TACACGGAGAGAGCACAGTTCTTCTCAGCAGCTGGAACAGAACACAAAACTTACAGGTCCAAGACTCAAGAATGCCTAGAGGCCACAGTTTATTCAACATCGCATGCAAAGACTCCATTTCTGTTCTCTCTCTTAATGCAGAACTCCTCTCTTGTAAACTCACTCAAGTCCTGTACAGTTTTGAAAGGATGGGAAAGGAAAAGGCACGTGTCCCCCTTTTCTAGTTAGAACAGGTTAATATTCAGTGGGGAAGACTTCCCCACTTAGCCAGCACCTATGTGCTGGTTGGTTAACTCCACAGTATTGTTCTCCACCAGCAGAACTGTTCCCTGACTCCAAATTTGGTACAAAAGCTGGGTTTTGCACTAATCGATTACATACACCTCCTTTGCACATGCACAGACACACACAGAGCCCTACAGTGTTGTGACATTGTAAAGGCAACTCCTTTACATGAACCCTCCAAATCATGTTGGACAAATAAACAGCACTGAAAACACAGAAACAGGAAAGTTAGAAGTGAGAGGCACAGATCAGAAAGACAAAGACAATCTGTACTCATGTATAAACACTGTGTATAAACACTGTCAGCTCCTCACTCAGGTAACAGTCGAAAGGAAAATGGTATGTTAATATTTGGTTGGCCGTCTAGAAAGACCTTATTAGTGGCCAAAGACTAACTCACACAACCAGGAAGTTATGGATTGGCGTTTGTTTTCCTCAGACAAGCTGTTGAACAGTAACAATTACATACTTTAAACCAGAGGAAATTAAAAGGTCATGTATACCTAATGGTGCAGACAAACTATTAGGACAACTCAATTTCCATTGGGATGTATCCAAATTCAGCAGTCTTACATGAGTATTTACAGAATTTAGAGAGACTACATCTGTACTGATTCTGTCTGATTTAACTGACAATTTAGACAGCTAGTTCCTTTCTAATGAGGCTGTTTTTTAAAGTTATCACGTCCTCATCAGTTGAACTGGCCTTTTTTTCCTCTCTTGGCTATTTTTGTGCATCTGAGATGCTCTGCATCAAATGCTGCTTTTTATATAAAGTTTAGTTGCTTAAAGTAGAATGGGGGTACTGTGAGCTCTTACAGAAACATTTTATAATTCAAGCTGTTATGCTTCCATACTAAAAAGTTAACAAGGGGAAAGCTGTAATCACATTATGAATTGAGCCATTTCAAAACCAAAACAGTGTAGGAAAACACTGTATTCACAAAATGAATACTAAGATACATTTATTTAATTCATACAGCAAACCAAAAAAAAATTGAAAGCTTCTTAACAACAGTTAATAGAGGATCCAGATGAACATTTCTGTACTTATTCAACATTTACTAGACAGGAGAAGCTAAAGAGCAATCCAGAGCAGTATTTGCAATGCAATTAGGCTAGACAAGTAAGCCTGAATGTATGCCAGCTGCAGGGGTCTGCCCTTAATTCACACAATCAAATGTCTAGTGTGTCACACAGTGTCTAGCATCAGTATCTCCAGTATTAAAAGTCTCATCAGATATGTACTTGTTTACTGAGCATCTTAATCAGGGTCTGAGCACATATCTAGCTGTACCTTCTAGCAGTCTATGTGCCAGTCCATCACCATCTGTCAGTTAAAGCTTTCACAGACAGAAAAAAATCAATTCAAACAAATGTGTTCGGCACTCAAACTAAGCTATCATTCACATTTCAATATAAGACTTGAATTCCTTTTCAGTGTTCTTCAACTTTGACCCAGCTCTACCCCCTCCTTCACTGAAAAGGGCAAAGACAACAGCCCAGCAAGTGGGACAGGCAAAACAGACCTCCTTTGTTCACTTTTTCCCTTTCAGTTTTCTATTGAGGTAAATAACTGAAAGCTCAGCCAGCCTCCAGTAGCTCAGAAGAAAGCAATATAGCTAGCTTGAAACTATCCTTTCCTGGTTAACAAACTGTGGGACAAAACTTATGGTGCATCATGTTAATCTTATTACTGGAGATTAACTCTTTACAAATTCCCTTAATATTATATTTAGACAGTTTTCATAACTGCAGAATTTACAGTATCTTTAATACTGAACTGAATAGGCAATACACTTACCAGTTTAAAATGCAACAAATTCTCACTGTGGAGAAAGTATAACTAAATTTTTTGAATACTAGCAGCCCACTCAGGAAGGCAAAACCAAATTCATTGCATATTGCCCAACACACAACTCCTACATCATTCCCTCATCTTACATTACCAACATATATTTTCCTCTGTATGGCTTCCCATTTTAGCAACTCTGTTCATAAAACAGGACAAAATTAACAAGTCTGGTGAAAATCGTACAACAGAGTTTTACTGTATTATTTCAATGTAATGGAAGTTAAGTAATTACAATTCAAGGTGATTTGAGACAAATTAACAAAACTACAGATTAATAGCAATTCCACAGCTGCAGGCAAAACAGATTTAATTTTTAGGCTGACTGAGCTATTTGAGCTATACAGTAATCTATTAACAAAATACCAAACCCTTAGTGTATTTAGTATCTTTTATGTCCAGATACCATGGAGAGTCATTTCCCTAAAGCAGGACAAATGGGCAGACATGCATTACCTTTTCTTAACTTGAAATCAGAATCCTCAAACCAATAAAATCTGACAATTAGAGAGACCCCAAGAAACTCTGACTTGGTTACTAAAGCTTCTGCTGTCACCAGAGAGAAACACCAAAGTGCAACAAGCTAGCAGGAGGTATCAGTATGTATCATTGGATTTGTTATTCCATTTTCTGAAAATAAAGACTACTTAAAATAGCCAAATTTTCTTACTACAGTCCTTTTTATCAAACAAGCTGCGGTATATGTGATAAATAATACACTTTCTGCAAGAAGATAAGGAACGGTAACTAGGGTTCAGGTTCTGGAGATCTCATTCACCTTCAACGTTATTATTTTTGAGTATATTTACTGTAGCCAGTAACAGTAATGACAGAACTAAGATATTAATACAAGTATGATTAGTTGTGGATTTATCTGTGAGTTGTGAAGAGGGTTTTAGCTCCATCCTTAACACCAGCTGGTATATGCCAACCCACCACCCGATGTGGTCACACAGCTGTACAGATTCCCTTTAGCTACACTGCCTTTGCACAACCCCAAATGCAAATTCATTCAATGGATCCCGAGTTCTGTCAACAGCAAGCAGCTTTCTGGGTTTGCTTCTTTACATTCAATATTCTCAGAATATAACACTTTCCCAGTTCTGTTGATCTACCTAGAATATATCTATTGATATATTCTGGCAGCTAATTTTAGACACCCAAGAGAATTTCACGTTACTTTGAAATTCAAATAAGTAACTTTCACAGACTTTGGCATCAAACTCTTCAGCTACTCTGGTCACTTGCATTGCAATTTCTATTCAAAACTAAACAAATGACTGAGGGGTATTCATAGGAATGATAACATCAAACAGGTTAGACAAATATTAGAAAGATGTTGCACCTGCAAGCCAGTTTTCTGACTTCTAGATCCTTTGAGCAAGTATGTAACACTATACTATCTTTTTCTTTCCAGCTGATACCCTTTGCCAAAGAACACCAGCAAGATCCCCCTATTGGCATATAAACTGTTCTCAAACTCAAAATAGTCTAGATGCCTTCTGATGCTGTACAGTGACTTGTTTTATGCACAGACCCACATAACTAGTATCTACAAATTATCACATCTACTATGTTAAATTACGGAAGATGTCGAAATGATTAAAAGTGCATCTGTTACACACAATGAAGTCTTCAGGTTTCACCTTTCCCCCAATATACCCAACAATCAAAATGATAGACACAGAGAAAGAAATGCACAAAGATAGGGAACATTAGAAAAAAGAATCCCAGGTAGTTAATACTGCCTTCTTGAGTCAGTAGGAGGTTGGTTTTAATAAACACCAAAAAGCTGGAGCTTTATGGATAAAAGAACATCTTGTCATGATCTATAGGTTCCATTATAGAGTTAAATATCACATTTTCCATTGTTTTCATCCAACTACATGTCGTAGTTGGATCCACTACATAAAGAGGTAAGCAATAGCATTCCTCTCACAGAGTACCTGTCAGTATGGAACAGCCTTATTGACTGGGCCGAAGCACACTATGATCTCAAATATTTAAACAGCTCGGATTTATTAATCAGGTGCTGTTTACACTTAGACTCTGAAGTCTTGGTTTAAACACATTTCAGACTTCAAAACTAACACATCTATGCTAAAGAGTTCAACGGCGGCTGACAGTTTAGTCAATTATTAGTTTACAGCCTAACAGGCGAGTGCACTCTCTGCCCAGACTTGGCGGTGATATTCTGCATTAATTGTAATCAAGAATCAAAAAAAGAGAAAACAAGAAAAGCCCGGCATCCATACACATTGTAGCTATTTTATATCTAAATAACATCGCATTTGTAACGGGGGAAAAAAAGAGGGGGGATGATAAATAAAGGCGCAAGAGCCGAAACGCGGAGCGCGGCACTTCAGCACCGACAGCTCCTTCCCCGCACACGCCCGGCCCTCGCCCCCGCCGGGCAGCGCACGAAATGGCGACCGAGCCCGCCCGGGGATGTGGGCGCGTCGCAGCCGCGGAGCGTCCCCGCCCGGGACCGACCCCCCCGCCCGGAGGTGCCACCGGCCGCCGCAGCAACAAAGCCCCGCAGCGGCCCCGCGGCACCGGGCGGGCTCACCAGGTGCCTCCTCGCCCGGCCCCTCGGAGGAGCCGCGGCACTCGCGGCGGACGGGCGGCTCCTCGCGTCCGGGCGCTGCGGAGAGCTGTGACACCGGCGTGCGGGGCTGGCGGCGGTGCAAGGCTGTACCGGCGGTACGGGGGATGTGACACGGGCGGTGCGCGGGAACGACACTTGCGGTGCGGGGGATGGATGACAGCTGCGCGGGGATGTGACACCGCGCGGCGGCGGCGCGGCACCTCCCGCAGCGTGAATGCGCGGCGCGGCGACGGGGACTGCCAGGCCAGTACTCACGGGAAGGTGCGGCCCCTCCGCCCGGGGAGAAGAGGGTCAAGAGGGTACCCGCGCTCTTTCTCTGCTGTTCTCCTCCTCTCCTGCTGCTGCTGCTGCTGCTGCCCGCTCGGCAGCCCGGCGAGAAGAGCCGCGGCGGGCGCGCTCCCGCGCTGTCCCCTCCCCGGCGCCCCGCCCCCGCCGCGCCGCGGGGAAGGCGCGCTCCCGCGCGGGGCGGGGAAGGCGCGCGCATCTGCGCGAGCCGCGGCGGGCGGGGCGCGCGCGCGCGGCACCGGGGGGCGGGCGGGCGGGGCGCGTGACCCTCGCACCTGAGGCAGCTCCGTGCGGGGCCGGCGTTCCTCCCGCCCTCTCTCCGCCACCCGGGTTAAAATGGGGGAAGGTTCATCGTCGTGCCGCCGCTCAGGGGTGCCCGAACGGTGACCAGCTCGTTCCTGAGCCTCCCCAGCAGCGCCGGTGCCCTGCAGCCCCCGGGCTCCGCCTGTGCCCTTCCCCGGCTGGGCACAGCCGAGCGCTCCCCGGGGCACCCCCAGAGCCGCCCCCCCGGCGAGGGCGGCGTTTTAAATAGCCGCATTATTTTAGCCCGGCAGTGCCCCTCTAAATAGATGGTTTCAGCGAGTTCCCAAACTGGAGACAAGGATATTATTTTACACTCGACAATTGTCCTGTTGAACTCGTTAAATTTCCAGTTCATAAGTTCAGGAAGGCAGGCGCTTGGATGCAATCACTCAAAGAGAAGCACTGGGCGACACCATTTGGACAACAGCCTGGAACTGGGCTTATTTCAGATAAACCTTTCTGCTGAACACACCTCTTACAGTGCTTCCCTTTCACATTTTGCAGTTAATTTAATGCACAGCATCAGAAAGCATTTTAATGTAATTTTGAGAACTCTGAGGGCTGTGCTCAGTATTACTCAAAATTAATTCAAGTATACCTTTAACATGTAGTAAATGCGATTAACTGCCACTGTTGAACTTGCCTTTGGATCAGCTCATTTAAGAATAGCCTTCTGTGCATTGCAAGGTAGCAACTTTTATAATGGTTAACTATTACACATTTGAGGGAACAGATCTCAAGGTGAACTCTATAGTGATAACTTAACAGTGCAAAACATGATGCCTAAGATGAACAAAAAACCCTTACCCTGCAAATCTGCAGAAACCCCTTTACGACTGGCAAGTTAAATCTGAACGTCTGACCTTCTGAAAAGCAACACTCTAGATGAATAACAGATTCTATAAATGATAGAGCACATGCATATAAATATCCAAGGGTTAAACAATAACTCAGACGTTACTGCTTCAGACTCTGGAGATATTCAAGCTTCTCTTAATCTGAGGCCAGGATATTAATGTTTGAGACCTGAATATGCAAAGAAGATTGGAATGAACGTGAAGAGAATCCTTTATAAAGAGAGGAAGTAAGTGCTTGAATGTTCTTTTTTTGTTTGCTAACCTTTTCATTTTTGCTATACAACTCCCATGTTCCCAACTGATTTTTTTAAACATAAAACCACTACAGACTAAGTAATTGTGCATTAGTGTGTAAGGGGGCCTTAAAACACTAGGATATTGCCTTGCAAGATACCATGTTCCATAAGGAGATCATGTAGCTACTCTTGACTTTGAGAGAATATGGATATAAAATGCAGAGAGAAGGATGACTTCTCAGACAGCTACCTGTTTGCCTCCTTGACGGATTCCATGGGGAACATGGTTAGCCAAACCTTCAGGAGGTGGACTGTAGATCTGGTTATTATTTGGATAGCCAACATTAATTTAAAAACACAAAACATTGGGCTGTGGCAAACCACTAGGTGCAAGTTAGACCACAGAAACCAAGTAAATGAAGAGATTTCACTGTTGCAGGGAGGGTGTGATAGACAACTCTATATTGATATATGATGAGGCTGAAGTGTTGCAGCTGGTATGATTACACCCTTATGATTCCCCTGAGAATTTAAACTCTGTAATTTTTATATTACTGAGATAAACAAATACACACATTCAATAGCACAAAGCAGAAGTTTCCAAATGGTGGCATACATATAATCATACAGTAAGCAAGTACATTCAAAGGTTTATACTAGGAGCTACTTCTGCTGGTGATGGCATCCACTATTGTGGATGAGTGCCATCCATACTGGCAGTAGGATGGTGGCATCAAGCAAAAAGAAACAGGTGGGGTTGTTGGTGTAAACAACATACCCCTCAGCCGTTACAATAAGCAGAAATTGTGTGGCTGAAGGAATACTGGCTTTCTAAGTTCTCTGCCTCCTTGCATCTTTCCTGTAGTCATCATTCTACCTTTTGTAGCCTTTCTCCTCACTTTACCTGCTGCAATTATATCCATGGATTGGCAGTTCCAAACATAGTGGTTTAGTCTTCATGATCCTTTAATACCAGCCTTGGTTTACTTAGGTATCATCTACTGCTTTCTTCTACCTATTGAGGTTTTTTGATAGTCTTTGGCATTTTGTTCCTAAAGCAGACACTTTTGAGGATCATGGAAAGACATCTTGGGTTGTACATCTCACCTAACTTTAGATGTCTACTATGTGAATGTCTGCATGTGAGCTAGTCACTCTCTCCACTGAGTATAAAGGGAACCAGAAATAGGCAGTTTTAGCGTATGATTCATCTAACCTATTTTAGATGTCTACATTAGAATAAGCCAAGTTGCATCCTAGAAATGCCAGTTTCTATCCATTGACTCTAACAGGACCAGCAGGTGTCTCGTTCAGCTGTAAGTGTCTACATTGTTAGAGTCTGCATTTACTCAGCTGAATGCCACCCATGTAATTTTAACATGAGTTATCCCACTGTTCCACTTGTTTTGATGTCTTACAATGGTGAACGGAGTGCAGTGTAGCACACAAAGTACTTTGCACAAAGTAAAATGGTGAGGTATGCCCCACCGAATATATTCAAAGTCAGTAGAACTTAGACTAATCATATTTGATAAATTATGGGGCCCCCCAATCAAAAACTGAAAAACTTTTGAGATTATTTTAATCTAGTTTATTTATGGGCATTTTGTATTTCCTTTGGAGGATCTCCTGATACTATGAAAGTAATGTAAATGCACTTACTGCTGGTCTAATACTTTTTAGAAGCTAGTATTTATTTACGATAGCAGCATAAAATGTGAATATCTCTAAGCGAAAAAGAGCCCAAAGACAAGATCAAAAGCTTAAGTGATAATGTCTAATGTTAAAAGCTGCACTGCTTGGTATACAGTAACAAAATCAGCTTTCACAGACTACCAGGCAGAGGATGTGTTTTGATGTAAGATATGTTCAGAACTAGGGTAGCAAGAGTATCGTGCAGGATAGACACTGCACAGAAGTGTTCCGATGTGCTGTCAAGAATTGAAAAAAAATACTTTAGGCTTCAGAACTATTCTCTCGAAAGACAATTTGTGACTACAGTTATGTACTGCCATGCCTGATTTATAAGCTATTACCTAGGTTTTCCTTACAAGAAATCAGAGTTCTTCTGGAATCCTAGAAGGCTAGCAAGCTAAGCAGTTGGAGACACATGGAAATGCCGTGAGTTTAATCATGCCTATTTAGGACTTAGATATTCAAAGCTGATGGCAAACACTACCAGGGATTCACAGGGCTGAAACTTCCTCCAGGAATTACATGCTTGAACGCAAAATGAAAGGAAGCGATCCTGTTCTTTGAGAACCAGATGGAGAGGAGGAGCTGTTAGTGCTGTCGCCTGTGCCATCTTCCATTAGCTTGATCATTAGAGTGCTGCAAAAGGAAGTAGGAGCCCTGGGTTCAGTTGTTTTCTTTGCTCAATGGACTTTAACTTCTCAGGGCACAAACCTTTCAAAAACATATAGGAGAATCTTAGGATGAAGGCAGAATTTTCAATCCACTCTGCACAGGATAGTTAAACATTGAAAATAATCATGGTTGGGCTTTGTGAACGAAGATTTGGGAAGGGCTCTACCCGCATTTGCTACAGGCGCGCTGGTGGCTAAAAAGGCCAATGCGAGATAGACAAGTCCAGTTGCAAAAGGCACAGCAGAAAGACTCCTTGGATGGTATCAGCAGGATACGATTCTTTCTGTGTTGTCTTTTCGATGGTGATCCTGTGTGCGTTCTCAAAGGAAGCAGCAGCGCTAAAGGTAGTGTGTCTCCGGACCTCCCAGCTGGAGGCCAGGGTAGACCAGCAATGAAGATCAATGTGGCCAAGGCTGAGATGTTGCTTCAGGGAGTCCTTGTATCTCCTCTTTGGGGCTCCTCTCTTGTGGCAGCCGGTGGCAAGTTCACCATAAAGCAAGATCTTAGGGAGGCGGTGGTCCTTCATCCTGGAGACGTGTCCTGCCCAGCACAGCTGTGTTCTCAGCAACATGGCCTCAATACTCGTAACTACTACCTGTTCTAGAACAGATGTATTAGTTACATAATCTGACCAGTGGATGTTTAGGGTTGTACGGAGGCAGCATTGATGGAAGCGTTCTAGGAGATGCAGGTGGTGGCAGTAGATGACCCGTGATTCGGAACCATATAAGTGAGTAGACAACACTATGGCTCTGTAAACACTGATCTTTGTACTTTTCTTCAAGTGTTTATTTCACCAAACTCTTTTATGGAGTTTTCCAAAAGCACTATATGCCTTTGCTAACCTGTTGTCTATCTCCCTGTCAATCTTACCATCTGAGGAGATGAGGCTACCTAGGTAATTAAACTGCTGGACTGATTTGAGCTCTGATTGGCCAATGGTGATGTGGGGATGATGGAAGACTTCCTGAGGTGCCAGCTGATAGAAAACTTCTGTCTTCTTTAAGCTGACTTCCAGCCCAAAAAGCTCAGCAACCTCAGCAAAGCAGGATGTTAAACGCTGCAGAGCTGCTTCTGTGTGGGCGACAAGGGCAGCGTCATCAGCATAAAGCAGCTCCCAGACAAGATGGTTTAAGGTCTTAGTGTGGGCCTTCAGTCGCCTTAGGTTGAATAGGTTTCCATCGCTATGATATCCAATGTAGATACCATCTTCTTCATCAAGGTCCGCGTGGCCCTTTGGTTGTTGCAAGAATGCAACCTTGTTTCCCACCACTGGTTATTAGAAAGGGCTCAGAAAGTGCATTGCCATATCTGACTTGGCCACATTGAGTGAGATGATCATGGAGTGAGATGATCATTTTAA